TGTCATTGCGACTGAAAAGAAACTACCTTCTATCTTGGTTGATGAAACATCTGTACGCAACTCAATTTAGTAATTACGAGTTATGATTTATTTATCTCCTTTCTCATGGTTCACATTATATTTTATGACGCTTTCTCTGTCTCAGGTTCAAAAGATACAGTCTCTGACACCAAACATTGGAGTTGTTTATAGGTTTGATTTTCTTCACCTCTTGGCACAGCGTTATTACTTTTCTTCTATGTTTCTCTCTCACGGATAGACTTTTTGGAGTGTTCTCAGACTGATGTTGTTAGTCGTTATAATCTGCTGTCTTTGTGACTTACTCTGCCTTTATGATAACATGTAATTTGAACTCCAAAGATTGTGTCTGAATCTGTAAATACAGTCCACTATTGGCTAACATTATGTACCAAGACTATAGAGTAGCCTTTTGGAAAAAAAATCTTCCTTGAATTGGAAGGAGCTAAGTTACTTAGTATCAGTAAGAATTGTAGTTTTACGTTTTTATTTGGTACTGTTAATAAATCGTGTTATTCTTCTTATGAACTGTCATATTTTTCTTTTAAATATGCATCTCCGTGGTCTTGAGCATTACAGCTCGGACAGAGCAGTTATTTGAGTCGATCTATTTTTAGCATTCGTTTTTTTCCTAAGTAAGCACCTTCAAGTTCTATTATGATATTTTTTCCTACAGTGGCATGGGTCCTGATTTTAGAGTTCTGGTCAGAAAAAGTAGGAAGCAGGCAGAGCAATATCATAGACTGTACAAGGTACAATGAGGTTTCCACCCATATGTCAAATTTCTTCATAACTAAAACACTTTAGTTTGTATAATCAATCTTCATAAGACACTTTGATACACTAGGTACAGAGAGTTTTTAAATCTCATATTGTTTTTTTCGTAACTGTACTCTTTAGTTTGTGTGTGCATGCCTGCTTGAATATTTAGGAAAAAAAATTCAATTGATTATCAAATTACATCTTATCGTGACCTTTCTCCTGTGGTCCTTAGGCTGTTCTTTTGTGGCCCTTCTTTTGGCCTTTTTAATGCAGTTTCCTATTGTGCTCATTTTCTTCTCTTTTCATATACTAAGAGCACAAACTTTTTAAATGAACATGATCAATCTTTGTTTCATGTTGATTTTCTTTAATATAGTTGTGCTTTTTCACAATCTTGATTGTCGGCCAATTTTCCCTCTTGAGTAAGCGAACATATATATATATAAATAGTATTTATGATTTTCTTCACATGGTTGTAACTTGTGTAAAATGTATCTTAGGAACCAATTCCGGTCACCCAACTTGTGAGGGAAACAGCAGCTGTAATGCAGGAGTTCACCCAATCTGGGTATCCACAATTCTTGCCCTGAAAGTTGTTCAAACTCTAGATTTTAAATGAAAGCTTGATACAAATTGGTGTTGCCTAACTTGCAAAAAACTTATTTTGAAGTCTCTGAATGGACATAATGTGGATGGCATCCTTTTTCGATAAATAATTTCTATTTTAATTTACTCTTTTCAAGCTTCCATTCCCCCACTTTCTCTTATTCATCATTCCTTTCAATGAAAATAGTTGCCGCAACATGTTGGCCTTTCCAATATTTTGTTTTCAGACTGGAACTTGGGTGCCATTTGCCTTAATAGATCTTTTCAATTTGGTCCATGTATTCAAAAGTTTTATTTTCTGTGTTTTCTTGTCTTTAGTGGAGTAAGGCCATTTGGAGTATCTTTGCTGGTTGCTGGGTTTGGCGACAATGGTCCTCAATTGTACCAGGTAGATTATCTCTTATATCTTGATAAAATAGTAACACATTAAATGCCTGATTTAAGGAGGCTTTTAATTTTATAATTCTCTGTCTTTTGTATCCATATCCTAATTTTAGTTTCATGTAAACTTGGTAATGAAATCCAGGTTCTCACCTTTTGAATATTATTTTGTTTTTCGGGTGTAATTGCTGTTTCTCCTTTCAAGTCTTGTGCTACAATATTGATCCCTTATATGTATATGTATTTGTATATGTATATATATTTATCCACATAGATATAGAATATATTTATAGAAAGTTATGAATTTTTGTTAGCACCACTGAAAAGCTATACCTCAATTCACTTCTCTTCTTGAATGGAATACTTTTTCCCTAGGTGGATCCATCTGGTTCATATTTCTCTTGGAAAGCCTCTGCAATGGGGAAGAATGTTTCTAACGCCAAAACATTTCTAGAAAAAAGGTATCTGTTCTATTTTCTGCCGCTGAATTCGTTAGTCAAACTGAGCAGTATCGGCGTCAGATTTCACATTAATTACTCTGTTTAGTTTATTAAATAGAACCCAAAGCTAGCTTTGTGAACTTAAAATTTATCCATTGCATCTGATTTTAATGCTGCCAAGTAGCATACCACAGATAGTTTTGTGGGTTGTTTTGGTTCCTGGTATCATTCATCCAATTTTCCTGACAGTTTTGGCGATCTTACTTTTCAATTTAGGTATACCGGTGATATGGAGCTTGATGATGCAGTGCACACTGCCATCTTAACCTTAAAAGAGGGGTATGTATATTTTAAAGAATCTCGTTTAATGTATGAACTTTGTTTCTTCGTATGTTGTTCTCTCTGTACCTTGGAAATTTAGTGAGGATTAGTTCATGTGAAGGAGATGCTATGAAATGATAGCATTTTTGGGATGAAGATGGAGTAATGATGACAGGGAGAACTTACGTCCTTTTATTCATCATTATCCACACAAATCTTAACATTTAATAAGAGTTCAACTGGAGAGATCAATTTCCTTGGTCAACTTGGAAGTTACTTCCTACAAATTTGGAAGGCTAATCTATTTGCCTATATTTTAAAACGAACTCAAATTCAAAAGGGCCTGTGCTTTTAGAAGACTAAAAGTGGCCTCAAAGTTTCTCTCTTGCACCTGCTAGGTCTGATTCTCAAGATGATATTATGCGTAGACCTTAATTTACATAGAAGAGAAAGTATATAAAAGATATGAAACTTCATAATCATGTAGCACCATAGGGCTGCTTGGTGATTGGTGAAAGTATTTTAAGCTAAATATATTCATTCTCTGACCAGTTCTTTCAAGTGATCTAAATTTAAAATCTTCATTTTGTAAATTATGTATATGCATACTGTCTGCACCCAAATATTATTGTTTCTTATTTTATGGCTAATCATTGGTAATCTTTTTTGTTCTTCCGTAGATTTGAAGGTCAGATCTCAAGCAAAAACATTGAAATTGGAATCATTGGCACGGATAAGAAATTCAGGTTGGTCTCTCCTGTTCTGTTTTACTGGAAAGAAAAATCTTTTCCCTTGGGTTGAGCTTCAAAACCCTTATACATAATTGAATTGTCTGTTATGTTATTGTGCTAATGTGCTTCATTACGAGTGTAATGTACCAAAATTGGTGAGGTTTAGTGTAGAAACCTAGAAAGTTGCGTGTTTGAATGATAACGCTTGAAACTGGAAAATCTCAACCTTCTGCATATTCTCGAGTGTCTTTAGTGGTCCAAAAATGTTTTATATGTATGTAGAGTTATCAATTGCTAATGAAGCTGATGTTATAGCATTAAAAAAGATTTTGATGGTTACTTCTTTTAAGGCTTGTGTGGTGCATTCATGTCATGAGAAATAGACTGCACATTTGGTATCTCTATTTCATTCATCTTCTCCTGTTAAGAGTAGCCATTTTCTGCACACACACATGTATTCTTGGATCTCGTCTCTACTCTCGAGTTTGATTTGTCGATTTCTATCCGAAACAGAAGCGCTTGCGATTGATACTGACTTCTGGTACGCCAATATTATTTTGCAGAGTACTAACCCCTGCTGAGATTGATGATTACTTGGCTGAAGTAGAGTAAGCAATATGTTTGCCTGCAAAGGAAAATTCTTTTAAAAGACAACTGTGGGTGTTTGATTTTGAAGTGAAGTAGCCTGGCACTGCCTGTGAGCTTGATGATGCCTGGCACTGACTGCCATTGCGAAAGTTAATGAAGAAAAATTGTATGGACCTTTTAGGTTTCCAATACACATCCACCATTGTATGTTAGTTAAGGAATTATGCATACATGCTTGGATTAGATGCTGTGAAGAAGGTTTCTTGTTTTAAACTTATCAAAACAAGATTGGTAACCAAAATTATGGTACTTTCTTTCAGTTTCTATGGTATCTTTCACAAGGGTTATATGTGGGACATTTGGATGCTAAGTAAAGCGACCAGAGTCTCTCATAGCTCTCAAGTCTTGAAACACTTGTAAAAAACAAAGAATCACATTTCATTTTTAAAAAAGATGTCTTCGTAAGACCCAATTCGATTAACAAATAACTCATCTCAAATCTGTTTTTTCCTTCCATGAACCTGTTCATTCAGTACCTATTTCCTTTTTTATTGAATTTGAATAAAAAATGGATAAATAGGTTTATTCAATAATTCCTTTTTTTTTTTTTAATTGAATTTGATTTGGTTGGAAAGAGAAATCAAATAAAAGAAAGATTTGTTCACAAAACCTGATTTCATCCATAAACAGAAGGTTGATGGAAAAAATTACTCATGAACCTGAGTTCATCCAGAGGTTAAAGTCAATGGAAAAAAAATTAGATAAACAGGTTAAAGGTTAAAGTCGATGGAAAAAATTAAATAAACGACCTAAACCAAGCCAACCTAAAAAATTCATGGATGTAATATTTAATAATGGATGTTTTTTTAGTTGAAAAAAATTGATCACATGAATAAGTTTTGTAAAAAAAATATGTGAACCCCACCTACCTAAAAGGATGCAGAGCCAACAAAGGCACCGATCACGAACTATCACTGTGTTATAAGTGAGTTTGTTGGCGACACATTGACCCACCACCTTGCAGGCTCACTCGCCGATGGGGGGATTCTTTTCCAAGCTGTAGTTTTCTTAGTTTCCGTTTCATGTTTGAATCATATATATTCCCTTTACTTTTGGACTAATGCGTATGATCCCACATCCAACATAACGAAATCGACCCAAAATACGTAAAATGTAAAGTATAAAACCAAGAAATAAAATGAAAAAAACAAAAATATATTGTCTACCAACCCTATAGTCCTATGATATTGATCCCACATTGCTGATTAGCGGCGACGGCAACTCAAATCATTAAGCAGAGAAAAGGGTTTTTACAGAGCACTTTAAGGTCCATCAATGGCGTCGAGATTGGTTTGGGCTTCAAGAGTTGCTTCATATCTCAGGATCTCAATACCCCATAGAGGGTTTGCTTCTGGTGAGCCGAACCCACGTTTTTTATGTGCTGATTTTCCTAATTCTTTCTCAGTTTTGATTAATCTGTTTGTCTGGTAGATGAATATTTGAAACTGATCGATCTTCTTTTCACATTCGAAGATCTCAGTTTCCATTGATGGGTTTTGTTTATATTGCCGTTTGTTTGATCAATGGCTGACCCTTTTCAAGATTTGCAGGATTTGTCTCTGTTTTTGGGTTCACAGATGTTATTCTACTGCTAAATCTACATCTGTTCATATGCATTATGTTTTCACCTTCCATTTGAATTATTGTGTGATGAATCCCAAACATGAGATATTGTATTCTACTTTCATTTTTATCGCCTTCCTTTGATTTGTTCATGTGTTTTTATTTCAATCTTGTTATATGAACTAACACCAGTGCCTTGGTGAACTTTCTAGCTGCTGATATCGTTCATTATGTAGTTTTGATATCAATCTTCCTCCCTGATTTTGCTAGTAGATAGACTCTATGCACATGTCGTGTAACGGCCCAAGCCCACCGCTTACCGATATTGTCTTATTTAGGATTTCTCTTTTGGGCTTTCCCTCAAAGTTTTTAAAACGCGTTTGCTAGGGAGAGGTTTCCACACCCTTATAAGGAATGTTTCGTTCTCCTCTCCAACCGATATGGGATCTCACAATCCATCCCCCTTGAGGGCCTAGCGTCCTTGCTGACACACCGCTTGGTGTCTAACTTTGATACCATTTGTAACAGCTCAAGCCCACTGCTAGCAGATATTGTCCTCTTTGAGGTTTTCCCTTTTGGGATTCCCCTCAATGTTTTTAAAACGCGTCTGTTAGGGAGAGGTTTCCATACCCTTATAAGGAATGTTTCGTTCTCCATTCCAACTGATGAGAGATTTCAAAATCCACCCCCTTTGAGGGCCTAGCGTCTTCGCTGGCACACCGCTTGGTGTCTGGTTCTAATACCATTTGTAATAGTCCAAGCCCACCGCTAGCAGATATTGTCCTCTTTGGTTTTCCTTTTTGGGCTTCCCCTCAAGGTTTTTAAAACATGTCGGCTATTGAGAGGCTTCCACACCCTTATAAACAATGTTTCGTTCTCCTCTCCAACCGATGTGGCATCTCACATGCCACTTTTATTTATTGTTTTCAAGCTGTAACATGAGTGTAGTGAAATAACGTGTACCTCCAATTTGTGCAGTTGTTAAGGACTTGAAGTATGCTACCTCTCATGAATGGGTGAAAGTAGAAGGGGATAAAGCAACGATTGGCATAACTGATCATGCTCAAGATCATTTGGGTGATGTTGTCTATGTTGAATTACCAGAAGTTGGGACCTCTGTTAAACAGGATGGCAGCTTCGGTGCGGTAGAAAGTGTCAAAGCTACCAGTGATATTAACTCTCCTGTGTCGGGGAAAATCGTTGAGGTCAATGACGAGCTCAGTAGTTCCCCTGCTCTGGTTAGTTCCTCGACCGAATGTTCTTGCTCTTAATAATGATCTGACAATGGCTCTGGAAAGATTTAAGTTCATTTTACTTCTTGTTTGCACTTTTTAGATAGTTTAAGATGGATTCTAGCTAGCAATTGACTTGAGTCTTAGTTTGATTACTTGATATGTATATGTTAGAGGTGCACTAGTATCTCTTCTTGTATCATGAACAAGTCATATGAGTTTGCATATTGCAGATTCGAAGTTCTTTGGATTCTATACCTTTCTTTGACCATATTCAGGAGACAGCCTGCCAATACCGTTTGATGTTTTCTTAACAATGATCGTTTCTTTGATTATCTTCCCCTTTGCGTCTACTGAAAATTTTCTAGTCATTTTGTGTGAGATCCCATGTCGGTTGGAAAGGAGAACAAGTGACAGCAAGGATTCTGGGTCCTGAAGAGCGGTGGATTGTGAGACCCCACATTGGTTTGAGAGGGGGCTGAAGCATTCCTTAGAAGGGTGTGGAAACCTCACCATAGTAGACGCGTTTTAAAACTGTGAGGTTGATGACGATACGTAGCGAGCCAAAGCGGACAATATATGCTAGTGGTGAGTTTGGGCTGTTACAAATAGTATTAGAGCCAGACACCGGTGGTGTGCTAGGGAGGATGTTAGGCCCCGAAGAGGGTGAATTGTGAGATCCCACATCGGTTGGAGAAGGGAACGAGTGCCAGTAAGGATGCTTGGCGGCCCCGAAGGGTGGTAGACTGTAATATCTCACATCGATTGGAGAGGGGAACGAAACATTTTTTTAAGGGTGTGCAAACCTCTCCCTAGCATACGTGTTTTAAAATCTGGAGGCTAACGACGATACATTACGGGCCAAATTGGACAATATCTGCTAGTGGTGGGCTTGAGCTATTGCAAATGGTATCAGAGCCAGACATTGCAGTGTGCTAGGGAGGATGCTAGATGCTAGGGCCCTAAAGGGGGTGGATGGTGAGATCTCACATTGGTTGGAGGGGAATGAGGGCCAGCAATGACGCTGGGCCCTAAAAGGGGGTGGATTGTGAGATCCCACATTAGTTGGAGAGAGGGGATGCTAGATGCTAGGGCCCTAAAGGGGATAGATTGTGAGATCCCACATTGATTAGAGGGGAATGAGTGCCAGCGAGGACGCTGGGTCCTAAACGGAGGTGGATTGTGAGATCCCACATTAGTTGGATAGGGGAACGAGTGTCAGTGAGGACGCTGGGCCCTAAAGGGGGTGGATTGTGAGATTCCACATCAGTTGGAGAGGGGAATGAGTGTCCGTGAGTACGCTGGTCCCAAAGGGGAGTGGATTGTGGTATCTCACATAAGTTGGAAAGGAGAACAAAACATTTTTTATAAGGGTGTGGAAACCTCTCTCTAGCAGACGTGTTTTAAAACTGTGAGGCTGACGGCGACACGTAACGGACCAAAACAGACAATATTTACTAGCAGTGGAGTTGGGCTTAACGCATATATCCACAGCAATTCGTTTGTTTATAGCATTTTGTTTTGTTTTGTGTTGTATATGAGTATTGATGAATATGTGTGTGTTAATAATGTAGGTGAACTCAAGCCCATATGAAAACGGATGGATAATTAAGGTGGAGGTGAGTGACAGTGATGAACTGAAGAATTTGATGGACTCTGAGCAGTACTCCAAGTTCTGTGAAGAAGAAGATCATTGAAGATGTCAGCAGCCTTATCACATCAGTTGCTTTTCCTTCCTTTTCTTTCCTTTGTAAGACTCACAAAAATGGTGGAAATTTCCCCACTGATATCAATAATTTGATCCATTTGAAACTGCATTCTCTATATTTTCTGTTTTGGTTGGTCGGGCTCAGTTCGACTTCTGGTGGCTCGGTACGCTCGGTACGCTCGTTTTGATCATTCTGCACTGTCCCGAAATTGTTTTTGATGTAATTAAGGCCAAAAAATGTCGGTATAGCTGTTTTCGTTCATGCTTACTTTTAAGATAAATAAATTATGTGAGCGTCGTGAATATATTTCAAGCTCGATTTTATGAATGGATGAGTCAAGCTCACTCGATTTTTAATATCTTTTAATTAAAAAAAAACTTTATTCTAAATATTTAACGGGTTTTTTTTTTTTTAATTTAAGTATATTTTTAAAATTTTAAAAATTATTTCAAGATATAAACCAAAATTTGGAAGTTAAAAAAAGGATTTTTAAAAGTTAAATGATATTTTTTAAATAAATTAAATGTATTAAACTAATTTTAATTGAAATTTTGAAAGGAAATGTTTTTTTTTTTTTTTTTTTTAAGGATAATAAAAAAAAACAAAATGTTTAAATTTAGATATTTTTAAATACAAACAGAGCTCCACTCCACATTCCCTTTGTAGAGATAAAAACCCACATGGCCACACCAATGCATATCTATAATGGACGTTGCCATAACTTTTCTTCTTCGATTTGCTCAATCTTTCATCCACCTGCTGTAATCTCTTCTCGGCGCTTTCATGTAGGTTCATCAGCTTCTCTCCTCCAACTTGTTTTTGTTTCGTTTAAGCTTAGGACCTTTGTCTTCCCCTATCAATTTCACTTGCAAACACTCCAATCGTGGGCTGCAACTTTGTAATTCTTTACGGTGTATGAGTGTATAATGTGGTTTTGAGTTTGTGTTGTTTATTCGTCGGTGTTTTAATCTGGCAATGGAAGCTCAATTGGAGAATATCGGATTGTTTTTCCGAATATTTCATGTTAGTCATAAACGAATCTGTTCATTGTTGTGTTGGAATGAGTCATTATAACTTCATCTAGATTTTTTTCTCTCTCTTTGTTTATGGTGTTTTTGTGTAGTTTGATTTTAAGAAGGATTTGTGTTTTGCACACATTTATGCTTAAAACGATCGATCTAGTCTAGTGTATTCTTTCGTTATCTTGAATGGTTATGGCAACATGTCTATCTACGATTGTAATGAAAGCAGATGGAAGCCTGTAGTTTTATTTATAATGTATGCTTTCATTATCTTTGGTAAATTTGTATGGATAGAAGCCTTTTTGAATTCGTTATGTGTAAATTTGTATGGATACACTGCAGATTGTTGAAGTGCATTTTACTATATATACTCATAATGTATGCTTTCATTATCTTTGGTTGTTATGCCAATGTCTCTACAGTTGCAATAGATACAGATAGATTGTTTGTTTGGCGTTCGCTAAGTGTATATTTTTATGAAAAACTCTGCAGGTTGATTTTTGGAAGCGTAGTTAACAACATATACTTACAACCGAGATGTTGTGGAACTGATTTCAGATGGACAGTAAAATGTGCAGAGAATGAAGTTGTTGAGAAATCCAGACGTGATGGCGTTTATGTTGATAAACGCGGAAAATTGAGAACCTTCAATCGCAAAAGATTGTCAAGAAAACGATGTAAGATACGCTACAAACTTGAAACTGTGTTTTGTATTTTTAACTTTCGCGTATATTGATTTTAATTATCACTTTGTTCAGGTGGTTCCTTGAGGGGACGAGGATGGAAGTATGGATCTGGTTTTGTTGATGGGATATTCCCTGTTTTGGGGCCTACTGCTCAACAGATTATGGACTTTGTTAGGGAAGAAGTAGATTATATGGGACTCTGGGATTTTCTTGACACGCTACCTGCCACTAATTCAACTTGGGATGATATCATCAGTGTAGCTGTGCAACTTCGTCTCAACAAGAAGTGGGCTCCAATCATATTGGTAAGAATTAGTCTGATAGTTCAGTCATGCAACTAACCAAATCCAAGGATTCCTCAACTTCTTTGCTTTTTCCTTTGGAAAAAAAACCTGATAGTTTAGTTAGACATTAAGACACATAGTTATGCAAATTTGTAGGGTGAGAGGATGTTGAGGATTGTTGGGAGGGAGTCCCACATTGGCAAATTTAGAGAATGATCGTGGATTTTATAAGTAAGGAATACATCTCCATTGGTATGAGGCCTTTAGGGGAAGTCCAAAGCAAAGCTACAAGATTTTATGCTCAAAGCGGACAATATCATACCATTGTGGAGAGTCGTGATTCCTAACATAGTATTAGAACCATGCCCTTAACTTAGTCATGTTAATAGAATTCTCAAATGTCGAACAAAGAAGTTGTGAGCCTCGAATGTGTAGTCAAAAGTGACTACGTGTCAAACAAAGGATGTACTTTATTTGAGGACTCTAGAGAAGGAGTCAAGCCTCGATTAAGAGGAGACTGTTTGAGGGCTCCACCATATCTCTCAGGGGAGGCTCTATGTGTATTTTATTCGAGGGGAGGTTTATTGAGGATTGTTGGGAGGGAGTCCTACGTTGGCTAATTTAGGGAATGATCATGAATTTTATAAGTAAGGAATACATCTCCATTGGTATGAGGCATTTTGGGGAAGCCCAAAGCAAAGCTATGAGAGTTTATACTCAAAGTAGACAATATCATACCATTGTGGAGAGTCGTGATTCCTAACAGAGGAGCTCATGCAAACTGGATGAATAATTAAAATGGATAAACAAATCTCAGGTCTCAATGTTCTTTCTTTTTGTGTGTATGACATAGGAGGAGTTCATGAAAGCTGGATGAATAGTTTGAATGATTTAAATAAATATCAGGAGAGAGAGAGAGAGAGAGAGAGAGAGCTTTATGCATCATAATGGCTGTGTTTTGTGCAACTTGTACTTGTACTTATTTTTGCTGCTGAAATTCTATAGATATGTGAATGGATATTGAACAAAAGCTCCTTCCGACCGGATGTGATTGTGTACAATCTACTTATGGATGCTTATGGGCAGAGATCCCTGTATAAGGATGTAGAATCAACATACTTAGAACTTCTTGAATCTCATTGCATTCCAACCGAAGATACTTATGCACTTCTTCTGAAGGCCTGTTGCAAATCTGGATTGCTAGAGAAGGCTGAAGCTGTCTTTGCTGAAATGCGAAAGTACGGCCTTTCACCAAGTATGTTTATTACTCATTTGTCATCTGCTACGAAGGAGCTAGTATTATCAACTTCTTGCTTAGAAATTTAAGCCTCAATTCATATCAAAACATGTGCCTTAGTATTGAATTTCTCTTCAAAGATAATTCTTAGTCATACAAAAATCTTGCACGTGAAATCATATCTTGACCATTAAATTATTCTTGATGCATCATATTCTTTTGTTTTTTGTTTTTATAAACAAATCAATGCTGCCATGTCATGTCAATTCCAGTAATTATTTGTTTTTGAGCTTTTAAGTAATTTAAAGTAGAGTTTGTTCGGTATTTCTTACTGTTTTAAATATATTGATGATACTTTGAAAGTAAAGGATGACATTGCTCCAACTGGCGTGAGAAACTGAATGTTTACTTGCAAGATAAATTAACATAAACAAATAAAATTTAAAATTTATGTCAATTGTTATACAGGTGCAATTGTGTACAATGCTTATATTGATGGTTTGGTAAAGGGTGGAAACAATGGCAAAGCAGTAGAGATCTTTCACAGGATGAAGAGAGATGGGTGCCAACCCTCTACAGATACTTACACAATGTTAATAAACGTATATGGAAAGGTGAGCCCAAACAGGTTAAATTAAGAACTCTTTTATCAGCATTTAAAGTTCGTTATGTCTTGTTTGCTTAAGTACAGTTATGATAGATCAAAGAATATCTTGCTTACTGAAGCGTTTCAATTCTGTTTTTGGGCTGCAGTGATATCTTCATGAGACTTTTAAAAATATTTATAATTATTTTTTTCGACTATACTTTATCATACTTAATAATTCTTCTTTCCTTCTCATTTTCTGAATCTGAATTTGTAACTTTTGTTAATTTAGCAGCGGGCTTCTTGGTACATTTTGAAATGTTAATATTTTGTTTTCACTTTTCATGAAAATAGTTTATAATGAAAATGAATAAGAATAAGGAAAAGGCATTTTGAATTGCTAACTACTTCTGGGAGGATCATCTGGTTTTTGGTCTGGGACCAGGGTTAAATTAGGTGAATGAACCTCGTCATGCCATAACAAGCCACTTCATCAAGCCACACTAGAGTAGATTCACCATGTCTGGTTTATGTTTAATTTGGGATTCTTGACACAAAGAAAACTTAAGGCCGGAATGCAAGTTAATGTGGTTGTAGGACAGATCAGTTTATCCAATAGAAATCCACTCTTCAATTTCTTCATCCTTCAAGATCCCTCTCAACCTCAGGTCTCATGACACGTTATGAAAGGACCAATATTGAGGAAGGCCATAATGCCTTCTCTTCCAAAGAAAATCTCCAAATCCACCAAGAAAAAGCGCCATATATCTGTACATAAGGTGGTTGACCATCCCTAGGCCATCCCTTTGAAATGAGAGAGACACCATTCTCCAGTTAATTAGGTGTGCCACACCATCCAAACTTGATCCTTCATTTTCTAAGGTAGATTCTAATTTTCTTCTCAATTTCAAATACAATATTGTTAGGTGCTTCAGCACGAGGAAAAATAAATAGGAAGGTTAGAGTGAACCAACTAGCTAAAATAATTTGGCTCTTTTGGAGAGACAAACATACTTCAGTTGTCGAGCCTACAAGAAATCTTTTCCAACACCAGATGTGAAAATTCATTGGGCTTAGGAGTACCTAGCAACTAGAGGTCCAAATATTAAAGAGAGCGGTCTCCAGCTGGGCATCCAAAATCCTCATTCACTTAGCTATCTTTAAG